TACCACAGAACAAAATGAATGAAGAGGGCGAAGTTGCGGCACCAATAACCATGCTTCCCTTGATAGACACACCAACTGTCAAGATCTAAAGAGAACCAACAGATAGCAACACCTGCCCTCATAGGGCCTTCGCTGACACTGAATTGGATGCCATTGAGGTAGGGAGAAGCCGGCGAGACCTTACTCTAGTACGTTATTGCCGCCATGTCCCCGTTGTCACTAGAGAAATACAAATCAAAGTAAAACATGACCTACTAAGAAAACAATAAAGATGACGGGTCCCCACACATCTGGCCACCGACGTGTCCGCCGATAGAAGAGAGGAGAGGGGCGAGATGGCGGCATGGAAGAACCCTAATAGTTGCGGCTATTTGTTTAGAGTGGAGGAGTTGGAGTCAAATAAGATTATATTTAACAATTGTGCTATTTGCATTTGAAAAATACCTAGGCTCGAACAAGTAGGTTGGTAGAGGCAACCGAGTAGTGCTTGGAGGGGCATGGTGTGTGTGTGGCAACAACACAAGACATGGGTGGTGCAATACTCAAAGACATCGGGTAGTAGAGATGAAGCATGGCAGAGATGGTTCGTGATAACGGTTCGTGACCAACTGGGAACGTGGATCTGAATTCCTACGACATGGGCGCATCAAAATATCATGGTAGTGCAAACGATGGTGCACGGGGGATTCGTTTGAGGGTTGAAGCCTAATACGTTTCCAACATATTAATAATTTTCCATTGTTTCATGCTATCATATTATCAATCTTGTATGTTTTATACACCATTTTATCTCATTTTTGGGAACTAACCTGTTAACTCAGTGCCAAGTGCCACATGTTGTTTTTCTGATTGTTTTTGGTTTAAAAAAATCCCTGCCAAACGGAGTCCAAACACGATGAAACTTTTTGATGATTTTTCTGGACCAGAAGAGACCCAAGCTTCGGGGGGAGTCTAGACGACAGACGGGGAGGCGACAAGGCAGGGGGCACGCCCTGTCCTCTTGTGGCCCCCTGTCGCTTCGTTTACCCTAATTCCCAGCCTATAAATTCCCAAATATCCAGAGACCCCCCAGAGGAGACCCGAAACAATTGTTCCGCCGCCGCAAGCCTCTATTCTTCCTGATCCATCTGGAGGACTTCGTCGGTACTCTGCCAGAGTAGGAATCAATCACGGAGGCCATCTTCATCAACCTTGCCGCCTCCATGACGACGTGTGAGTAGTTCCCACAGGACCTACGGGTCGATAGCAGTAGCTAGATGAATCTCTCTCTCTCTCTCTCTGTGTGTGTGTGTGTGTGTGTGTGTGTGTGTGTGTGTGTGTGTGATCTTCAATACAATGTTCTCTTCGGAGATTGATTCGATCTAATCTTGTTGCGTGTGTTTGTTCGGATCCAATGAATTGTGGGTTTATGATCAGATTATTCATTGGAAGTGAGTCTTTTCTGAACTTTATTATGTACGATTTTATAGCCTTGTATTTCTCTCTGATCTATCTGTTTAGTTTGGTCAACTGGAATGATTTATGTTTAGGGGGGAGGTGCTTGGTAGTAGGTTCAATCTTGGGACGTCCTCACTCTATGACAGGAGTAGCGAGGCACATATTTGTATTGTTGCCACTAAGGGTAAAACGACGGGGTTCGAACATATTATTTTGCCTTACTTTGTCTACGTTATGTCATCATGCTTCAAGCATTACTCTGTTTGGACGTAATGCTCATATATTGATCATGCCATGAACAACGTCATAACTATGCGCTTTTCTATCAATTGTCGAACAGTAATTTGTTTACCCACCATTACTACATTCATTAGAGAGATGCCTCTAGTGAAAACTATGGGCTCCGGGTCTATTCACTTCATATTACTAAAACCCTAAATATCTTGCTACAATTTATTATCTTTTATTTTGTTTTGCAATTTATCTATCTATCATTACCAGAATTAATCCTTACGATTAACGAGTAAAAGGGGATTGATAACCCTCTTGCCCGCGTTGGGTGCAAGTATTTGTTTTGTGCGTGTGCAGATACTGCTTACATTTGTTTGCGTGAATCTCCTACTGGTTCGATAAATATTGGTTCTTAACGGAGAGAAATACTTTCTGCTACTATACTACATCACCCTTAATCTTCGGGGAAATCCCAACGCCTATCACAAGTACCAAGGCTCCTACCCAAATCTACCACTCCATATCTTTGACGTCAAAGGTATTAGGTTGTCAAAGTGTTTTAAATATGAGATTTCTCTTTATGAGAGGGTCTCTAATTATGCATCGCATCGGTGGCTCTTGTCACACCTAGGTTGTGTGCTTGTGCGCACATGGTATATTAGCCACATGACATTGTCCATGTCAGGATTGTGCGTGTTGGCTATATCTTTCATTGGCTTAGCAAGTAGCTCATGTGACTTCATTTTTGTGGCATCCGCTTGATTACACGGTCTCAAGTTTCGGGATGAAAACCCTATATTTGACCTTAATTGGTTTACAAGTTCCCTTTTTAAAGCATTACTAAAAGTTTTTCTCGAACATGATTTGTAGGCGAAAGCACACGATCTAGCCTTAGGTGGTTGAATTCATCAACGATCATTTCTTTGTCCATGTATTGTCAAGGTCCCGTTGCTCTTTTTCCTTTTTTTAATATTTGATGTGGACATCCTCGATATGTTGAGGAGCTCTTAATATCATCTTACTATAAAAGTCACATGTAATTGATATATTGTCAATGTTAATATTTTTTATATCGATAAAAAGCTAACAAGTTCTAGTACCGGTCATAGTGATGATACTTCAGAAGGTAAACCCAAAATCTACTGGGCCTCCATTTGACAAATCCCAAATGGAATTGAAAAGCCATCTACCAGATCCTTTAATCATTTATCAGTGCCACACATGATACACGTACGCACCTTCAATTGACAACACCCTACAATTGTTGCCAAAACATATAGCAATGAACACACCACATTCTTGTTTTATGAACAGTGGAAAACCCCGAGGTTAATGGAGGATGGATACATGTTATGTTGCCTTGCGAGACTCAAGTTCAATTATTTGTCGTTGGATT